CAGTATCTTTGCCAAGACAATCCCAAATGGGGACACAAAGAGTCAGATACGACTGAACAACAACTAAAACAATAATGTAAACAAAAACAACACTGTAAGAAGAGATGATGAAACATACCTTTTTCCTCTCTAGAAAAGGGATGAAAGGACCACAGGAGAGGAATGGTGCATATGCTGATGTAGCTGCTCTCTTGGTTGGTTTTGTTTACATACTTGCTTGTGAAGGAAGATTACTTGGTGGAGGGAAATGATTGATATAAAAGACAAAAGACATCAATAGAACTTTATTTTTTAAAGGCCTAAGGAAATTTGTGTTGTAGATAATACAATCAAGCAATCCATTGAGAATTTAAATACCCGCTATGGGCCAAGTACTATGCTAGTTTCTGGAGACAGGCCAAAAAGTAACTAGGTCCCACTTACCACCAATCACTGGACTCTACTACAATGCCCTCTTTACCATCCTTTCTGTGCCACGGCCACTTTTATTCACCCACCACCATTAGCAATAACGTAGCAATATTTCCATGCAGTTTTAATCTATCGTTCTCTTCCTCAGCTGATTCTACAGTGGTGAGAGCTGTGTGTTAAGTTTTCCCTTCAGACCTTTGAACTGGTGCTCCCTTGCACTTCTCTACCCTTCGCCCCACCCCTATTTTATGACTAGGAAATGTCCAAGGAGTAAGACTGGTGTGATAGACAGGAAATGAAGTCTTTTGAGGGCTGGAGAACAAAGTTAATATATAGTCATGGAAGAATCAGGTACTAAGCAGGGAACTATAGACTGGACTAAATAATAGGAGGCCAGCCCCTGGGAAACTGAGGAATGAGAATCTCAGGCACTGAGAATTAGAGATTGAAACAGAAACCCAGACTGGAGAATTAGAATATTAGGTAAAAACATTTAGGCTGTTGAGCTAGTGAATAATAGGGCAGCTAGGTGGCCCAGTGGCTAGAGCAGTGGCCTTGGAATCAGGAAGACTCATCTTCTGGAATTCATATCTGACCTCAGTCACTTACTAGCTGTGTGACCCTGGGCAACCCTGTTTGCCTCAGTTCCTCATCTATAAAATAAGCTGGAGAAGGAAATGGCAAACCACTCCAGTATCTTTGCCAAGAAAAACCCCAAAATGGATTCATGAAGAGTTGGATGTGACTAAACAACAAAAAACTAATAAACAATAGCTGTTGAGCTCATGTGCAAATGTCCCCTTTCCTTGAGCCAGGGTAGGACTGAAGTAAGCAGGTACCATACCTTTCAATTACTTTGTGAATCCATTTGACCATTCACAACATAACAAATACACTTCACAGTTTGTCTCCAATTATTTACTGATATTTTTCATAATTTGGAGTCAATCAATAAACATTTATTAAATGCTTACTACATTCCAGGCATTGTGCTAAGTGCTGGGGATACAAAGAAAGGTTAAAAACAGTCTGTACCCTTAAGGAGCTCACATTTTAACAGGGGAGGCAACGCACAAATAACTATGTACAAACAAACTGTATATAGGATAAATTGGAAATAACCAAGAGAGGTGGAGCACTGCCATTAAAGGGGATCAGGAAAGGCTTCTTGGAGAAGGTGGGGTGTAAGCTGAGTCTTGAAGGAAGCCAGGAGTCAGAGACGAGGAAGGAGAACACTCCAAGCATAGGGGATAACCAATGAAAATGCCTCATATTGTGAGATGGAATGATTTATTCAAGGAGCAGCAAGGAGGCTTGTGTCACTAGATCCCAGAGTGGAAGGTGGGGAGGCAGTATATGAAGGGCTTTAAATATCAAACAGAGGATTTTGTATTTGATCCTGGAGGGTGTTAGGGAACTATTGGAATTTATTGGATGGGGAAGGCTGGTGACATGGTCAGGACTGCACTTACAGGAAGATCATTTTGACAGTTTTGTAAAGGATGGACTGGGATGGGGAGAAATTTGTGCCAGGGAGTATCTGTCTACCCAATCAATATAAGACCCCAAAAATTAAGATTGTCTCATGATTAAGTGATTTCATCAGTTCCTTACCATCAAAGAAATAACTTGCAGCTGGCAAAGGAAGAGAGTCCATTTGTTCTCCCTAGCCAAGAAACTTTTGAGCCAGTTTTTTGACTTCTAATTTTATCCCTTACTTCACTTTTTATAGAATCACAGAATTTTAGAGCTGGATTATAGCCCACTCTCCACCATGAGATCATCAAATGTCACTTTTCAACCATCACTTTTCAAATGAGAAAGCAAGCCCACAGAGCTTCTATGACTTGCTCAAGGCCAAGCAGTAAGTTAGTGATAGAATTTTGGAGTCTTTGGACCACCCAGTCTAGTTTTTAGGAATGATGGATGGAAGTTACAGAAACAAACAGATTCAGTACAACAAAAATCTTCTTAACAATTAGACCTATCCCATCTCTTTTTGTGGTGGCAAAGAATTAGAAATTGAGGGGATGCCCCTCAATTGAGGAATGGCTGAATAAGTTGTGGTATGTGAATGTAATGGAATACTATTGTTCCATAAGAAATGATGAGCAGGTTGACTTTAGAAAAACCTGAAAAGACTTATATGAACTAATGCTAAGTGAAGTGAGCAGAACCAGGAGAACACTGTACACAGTGAGAGCAACATTGTACAATGACCAACTTTGATAGACTTAGCTCTTCTCAGCAATGCAATGATTTAAGGCAATTCCAAAAAACTCGTAATGGAAAATGCTATCCACCTCCAGAGAAAGAACTATGGAGTATGACTGCAGATTGAAGCACAGTATTTTCTTTCTTTTTTTTTCTTGTGGCTTTTCCCTTTGGTTCTAATTCTTCTTTACGACATGACTAATATGGAAATATGTTTAATATGATTGTACATGTAGAGCTTATATGAGATTGCATGCCGTCTTGGGAAGGGGGAGAAAATTTAGAACTCAAAATCCTATAAAAGTGAATGTTGAAAACTAGAAGTAAATAAGTAAATTACAAAAAATTAGAGCTATCCTATGGTAAAATGAATTATCTCAGGAAATAATGGGTTCCTTCTCATTTGAAGTATTGAGGCATCAGCTAGATGGCCGAACATCACAGGGCTCTTGTGGCAGTACAGGTTGGTAGGCTCTGAGGTCCTTCTCTTCTATGAAATTCCGTGATTCTTTCCCCTGAACTCTGCTTTCTTTCTTGGCTTTTGAAGTCTTTGATCTCCAATACACCATGAGAAGTCAGGATAACAGTTTAGACTTCCAGTAATAAATTGTCTGATCCTGGGCATGTCATATGCTCTCTCTTTCTCTCTCTCTCTCCCATCTATAAGTTATCACCCTTTCTCTTTCCTTCATTCTTCTCTCCTGGGTCCTCATTAGGTAAAATGAAAATGATTCCTGCTTCATGTCCCCTGGGATACGGCTCTGAGTGCAGCTGTTTCTTATAACCTTCTAGCACTTTGGTACCACATAGACTTTTTTTTATTAGTTATAGAAATGCTGCATGAGCTCCTTTGACCCATCTACCCCTTGGGCTATTGGTTAACACAGCTATTTACAATCTTGCCTAGAAGGGAATAATGTAATCATAATAATATATTGGATTTATGCACAGCTTTTCTTTTAAGAGCTCAAAACAAGCTCAGCTGTAGAGATATAACTGATTTAGGTCAGCTTGATTTCTTCCATCTCTACTTATGGACTGAGACTATTAAATATTCAGGAGATAGGTTGCTGTGCACTACTCACCACTCTTTCCCACACAGCAGAGGAGGGTTGTTTGTGCTTGGGGGTGTGGTGGGAGAAAGCAATTGGTTTAGAATGCATTTTTTTTTGTACCAACTGGTCATGATAATTAAAGATAAAAGATATTGGTTTATATGTGATTTTTTCACACAACTCTACTTTTTCTTGGAACAATTTCATCTGGTATAGCTAACATTTTTATTATAGGGAGCTGGGCAAGACAGAGGAAAAAGGAGAGGGGGGGAAAGGAGGGAGGGAGGGAGGAGGAGAGGAGAGAGAGAGAGAGAGAGAGAGAGAGAGAGAGAGAGAGAGAGAGAGAGAGAGAGAGAGAGAGAGAGAATATAGAAAGATAGCAATAGAAGAGAAAGGAGAGAAAGAGATACAACAAGTCAGAGAATAGATACGATAAACTGGGTCATTTCTAATAGGCTTGGTCCACTTGTCCCAGACATCAGGTTTGGTCCTAGAAGAGGGTCTCTTGCTTCCTGTCTCATCATTTCACTCACACTAAGATAAGGTTCATCACAAAGCCAACATAAGGTTCCCTGCTCTCCCCCAAACAAGCTAGTAGATGGTCCCTAGAGATTTCTAAACCTTCATTTATGTGCCTGTCGGTCAGATGAAAGCCAGGGCTATTCTGCATGCAGAAGGTTCTGTAGGTTGGTCTATGGCAGGAAATGATAAGGGGAGGTTTTCATTGGCTAGTGACTTGCCCACGTTTTAAGAATAGGAACCTATTTGCTTTGCATTAGGAATTATTTGTTCAGCAGCTTAAATTCCACTTTAAAAGATTTCTCTGCTCTCCCACCTTCTCACCTCACCAATTTCTATTTTGAAGGCTCTTAGGCAGTCCAGGAAACAACTCTTCTGAAGAGCTAAAAGTACTATATTATAATATGGGAGAGATCAGAGGAAGAAGTGAAAATTCTTAACAAGAAAATATTTTTTGACTTTGAGTTTTTCTTCTTTTCTTAACACTAATTTCATGTGCCAGATTTATTTTTTTTTTTAATGAATGTGGCAACAAATTATGAGACAATTTTGGTCATTCATTTTTCTAAACCACAGAGGTCTGAGTGCTCTTATGGAAATCTCTTCAAACCCATAGATTTTTGTCCAAGAGGAATTCTTTCTCTTTGGTTTAAATCGTCTGTTTCTTACAGGGCTTCCGTATTGTCTCGAGCTCCACTGGAAATGCAGTAAGGATTCCTAGCACATCCCAGTTGCCATGGCAACAGCAGTCTTTCCCATAATGAGCTGCATCATCTGAACTGATGTCACAGCATCATGCAGCAGGTCAAACAAGGCATCTCCTAGTATTGCATCCTACAGATGTGCCGTAAACATCAAAAGAGGATGGTTAGAGCAGGAGATGGTAAGTGTTAAATGTCTGTGTCTTAATTGCATGGCTGTTTTGTTGGTTAGTTCCTGTCTTTCCCAAGGCAGAGATATGGGAAGGCTGCCTGCTTAAAATGGACTGGGAAGGAAGCAACTGCTTTACCTAAATCTGTTTTTCAGGCAGCTAGGCTGAGACAAAGGCCTACAAGAGCCACATATGAACCAAAATATTTATAATTGTTCTTGTTTCATCTCTGCCTGTTATTTTTGGTAACCTCCTTAGATTGGCTCTGATGTATACAATAATTTACTATGGCAGTAAAACATTCGTAGAAATAAGTGTTTCCCTGTATTTGAATGGAATAAGAGATACGTATCTCTTTCTAAAATGTTGACTCACTAACGAGTTCTTTGCTCTTATGACTTAAGAAACATTCCAAGGTTTGCAGCATGAAATTTATTATTTAGCTCTGTTGGGTTTCACTTCCCTTATTTCACTCACATTGTAATGAATTCGTGCTGAATAAGCATTTCACACAGCAGTGATGTGAAATATGATCCTCTACAGTGATCCAGACAGCTTTTTTATTTTTATAAGGAAGACCAAATTTGAATTAAATGATAAAAGCATCATGGTTCATGAAGTAGTTTCTCAAAGAGTCGTCTTTATAGACATTCAGAGTAGCTGAAGGAATCTCACAATATTGTTCATTCCTGTCCATTTCTGTTCAAGTTACTCTGAAAAATGTTATGGAAATTATTTGCAGACTGACTTTTAGCTGAGAAAGGAACAAGTTGCTTCTCTGCGGCAATTTCAGGGAAAGGTATAACCCCTGGAATGGCATGTCTTAAGTGATGGTGTTACTGGTGTCCCTTGCTTCACCTTAACCAAAGTCCAGGATGGTGAATTGTACCAGTTTCCTCGATTTTTGTGGCAAATGTCTATCTCTCTGGAATGTCACTGGCCCAGGTATAACCTCACCCAAATTCAGCAACTCTGGATAAACAGTTTTTGGGTTCTATTTCTCTGAGCTTAGGTTCCAAAAGTCTTGATTCTAATGTGGTGGTTGTTGCTGTTGTTACTTTTATCTGACGGGAATAGAGAAAATCTGAAGTGTGTTGTTCTTTGTTTTTGGGAACGGACATTGACATGGATTTCCCCAGTGGAGCTGATCGCAGCTGAAAGGGGAGAAAGGAGGACGCATATGTCAGTTCAAATGATCAATATGTGCACTTGGAGTTAGGGAGTGGTCGTTCTTTTGGCTCAGGGCTGCAGAGTTGTTAGTTTGTATTGGAGGAAAGTCTTGTAGAAAGACATGATGGCATCCTCCAAGTCTCTCTTCTATCAGATATATTTTTTAAAATAGATTTTAAAAGAATTAGACTTATGAGGAGAAAATAACTAGCTCTAAAAGCTTTTCTCTCCCCCCCTCCCCTCCATACTAAAAAAAGCATGATGGCTTGATCTGGCACTAAGAAAGTCCTTAGCCTTCAGTTAGTTTATCTGAGCTGCATCATCTATCTATTTCCATTATGGCCAAGCTTATGTTGGTGACTTGAAAGCTATACGATATAGAAGAGGTCAGTGCAATTTCGCTTCATTTCAAGCACTTAGGAGTGTGAGTTGTTCATTTCTTGCTTTCTCATATTGTATGATGGGAGCAGAAAGCTCTTTTGGGATTGCTGGGTGTGAGCAGAGCAGGATCTGAAGTGATAAGGTGACTGGGGACAGAGGGAGGGGGTGGAGGAGGTGAGGGAAGTGGTAGATAGGAATGGGGAAGGGCAAGTGTTTACCAAAGTGGCTGAATTATGAGTCTGGGGAAAATAATCCATTGACTCCTTAAAAAAAAAAAAGAAAAAAAAACTTGCTACTCAGGGGATCAGTAACTAGGACAGATTTTGCTTGATGATTTTCAGCGTTAGGAAGGAATATAGAGTAACCAAAGGCATTAAGTATATCAGTGAGTTATTTTCAGCTACTCCCTCCCCATGATGATTTCTACAGTTACTGGAAGTTGCAGAAAACAGATTCTTCTAGGACTGTGATAGAGAAAGTGAGGGCTAATGCTAAGTATGGGGGAAGGGCACTGATGGGTGTGGACCGATGCAGTTACTTAGCAAAAAAAAAAAAGGTACTTCCGGGCTGGTTGAACATCTGATTCCCCCCTTCCCCCAAACGTTTGAAACGGAGCTTACATTTCCTCAAACACTTAGGGTTGTGTGCCTTCCTTTTGCCCCCAGAGAACAAAACTCTCCTAATGGGAGTGGCCAGGATCCTAGTTTTCTTTGCGGAGGATGGTAGCTCACGCAACTCTACCGCTTCTTGTTTTAATTACTGAGGCTGGGACTATTTCAGTTGCTTTAGCTTTAATATATCCCCAAGGGGTGGAGAGGGTATATATGGGAGAGGGAGGAGAGGGAGGAAAAAGAGGAAGAGAAGGAATAGGAAAAGGAGGGGAGAACCCAAAGGAAGGGCAAACAAGCATTTGTCTCCTTCACAGTACTGTTGCATCCCGGAAACTTTTCTAGGACATGTAGCTCTGTTGATGATTTTAAAATACCAAAGAGCCTGATGAGCAGGAGTTCTTAACCTGAAGTCTATAGACACTTAGATTTTGCAAGGTGGAAGGGAAAGGAGGGGAAAGATGAAATTGGATGGGAAAAAATTACATCTTTATATTCACTAACCTGTAATTGAAATTTATCATTTCCTTCGATTATGAATATAATAAATATTATTGTGAGAAGGGGTTCATAGGATGTACCAGGCTGCCAAAGGAGTCTATGACACAGAATGGTTAAGAAATCCTTTTGTAGAGTGTATGTGGCTTGGTTCATTCCCAGGTTACAGAAGACCTAGATTTCCTCTTGGGAGGAGTTGGGCTTAGGGTCACTCCTTCAGTGTGGGGATAGGCTGAATTATTAGCTGCCTATGGGGTTTCTGTGTGAAATCTTAATTGTCCACCTAGTATAGATAAGTGTTGGGCCTTTAAAATCATACCTGCTCCACCCCATTCCACATTGATCCACACAGTCTAATTTTTTTGAAAAAGTGACCCATTAGTGGAAATGAAATTTTATCTCTGGCACCAAGATTGACCCAAAGGCTCTGACAGGCTGTTAATCTTGGGGAGATCTGAATGTATATATTGCTCCAGAAGGTACAAGTTTCCCGAAACTCAGTCTTAAACCACCGCGGAAGCCTTCCCTGACATCTTTTATTAGGGTATGGGATACTTGGAAAAACTAAATGAAATTGCCATGGATGTTGGGTTCATACTAAAACCATCCCTTACTAAAACTTGTTGAACCTAGGCTCTAGTTCCTCAGATATGATACTTAACAGTTAGATTCCTAGAATATTAGAGCTGGAAGGAGTTAATGTGATCCAACACCTTCATTTTACAGATGAGGAAACAGGCTCAGATAAGCAAAGTGGTGAAATGACTTGGCCAAAGATTACTAAAGAAGATCTATGATCTGATCTCAGGTTTTAAGGTGTCCAAGTCCAGAATTACCCTTTTTTCTAAACCTTGAATTTGTTATGTTGTTTCCATTCATCTCCAAGTCAACTGTGAAGAAAAGAAGTAGGTACTGCTTTCTCCTATCCCTAATGGGCTGGTTGCTTGGCTTTGAGAGTCCATTTCAGAGATTTGGATTGAAAGAGGAGCACTCTTTAATAAAGGATTGACTGTCGCTCTTGTTTAGTAGAGGATCCTAATTTTGCTTACCCCAGATAGAGTTATCAGAATGGTTATCTCATGCCCCCTCTGGGAAGCCATGTGTCTAATATAAATTGATAGTCATCTTTGCATCACCTTCCTTATTTACCTCCTGGATTCTCTGCCTCTGGTGTCATTCTGACATATCTGGAGCTTCAAACAAATTATCTTCCAGTTGGCTAGCTCAGCGATTAAGAGTTGATAATCGATTGACATTCCTGGTCTCTAATCTGGCAACAAATGATTCTGTGTATTTTAATATAATTGAAAGTATTGTGGGCTTTTCCACAAAACCTAAGTTATTTATTACCTTTTGTAACTTTAATCTGAAAACATTTTCTTGCATTTCTCAGGGATAATTGTAAAACTTTATTAATTTTGTTTTCAATAAGTCTTGGACATGTGATCAGCTTCATCAATTCCATTTAATTAGAAACAAAAGTGGTGCCTTTAAGTTATAACTTTGTACCTTTATACCTACTTTATATATTTTAATTGTAACTTTAATTTGTAGCTTGTTTTCAGTACATTTTGATTATAACAAATTTAAGGTTGCATTAGGATGCCATAAATAACAAATTGTTTCTGGTGCCTTTATGTCTCTTAAAGTCTGTTCTTGAACTGAGGTACTAAGAACTCTTGTACACTTATGCGTTTTTGAATAAACTGGCATTCTGACAGTCTGCTATATGGGAATCTTGGCATCTTCTTTTTGTAAGAGTAACGGATGCATAGATAATCTAATATTGCCTCTGGTATTACTTGTATTTTAAAATCTATTTCCAAAACTCCTTTGGGGGAGGTGGTTCAAATGGGGTGGCAGTTCAGCTGTGCCCTAAGAAAACCCTCAAGCTTTTTGCCTAAGACTCCAGGAGGAGAAGTCTGATGGGGAAAGTGATGAGATTCTCAGAAGGCAGCTTAACTGAAGTCAGCTCCCAAGGAAGCAGGAAAAAAAAAGTTAGCAACAATAGGTTGAAATTGGTAGTTCCGCTGAAAAATATTTTGGGCTGTGTTATTGAGGGGAAGTCACTTTGTTTTTGTTTAAATTCTAAAGCAGGTGAATGGTAGTTTATTTTGAATCTCAGTAGTCCTTAGTAAGTTGATTTCTCTCATTCTGTAATAGTTTTATATTGCGTATGCATCAGTAGACAGATACAATGCCATCTTCCTATCATTTTGCCTGTATTTGTGATATCATACTCATCTTCCTTATCCTTCTAGAGCCTTGGACTCTGCTCCTGGGATGTCTGACCCTAATAGGTGAGCTTTGGCCTTATCTTGCCTTGAAACCAGGCCTTCCAGGGGAATTGCCATCTCTAAATCAAGCCACAGATCATATATCTCTATATTTCCTTGTGTATTGCCTTGACTCACTTGGATGTATGCTCCTGAAGGGCAGAGGTGGTCTTATGAGCTTGTATATGTATCCCCAACCTTTAGCCCAGTGCCTAGTAAGTGTTTAATAAATGCTTTGTATGTCTGCATGTTGATAACATGAATATCAACATACTGTCTTGTATGATATTTATTTTTTCTCTATACTCGTTTGTCTTGAGATTGGAATCCTGATGAGTGAAGGTTAATTTTAAATTCAGTAAACAATTAGCATATTATGAGTATGAAGTATGGATGATCATTCTCTGTAAATTTTATCCTTACATATACAATTATAATAAAAAGCAACAATGATACTTCAGTTTAAATGGCACATAAGAACATTTGGATTTGTATGATATAAATCAAATGGTGATTATTTGCAAAAGACAATTCTCCACTTTAAAAGGTATTCACCATTGGATACTGTCAAGAAGTTACCTCTTGGACCATCAGTTTCCTCGTGAGAAAAATGAAGGAGCTGAATGGTGGGATCTCTTAGTCTATGATGATATATCTCTTTGTCCCTTATGACATTAAACATATTTCGTACTTATATTTAGCATTGAGAGGAACCATAGGTATCATTTAATTCAACTCTTATTTTGCATGTGAGGAAACTGAGGGTTGCTGACTTAATCAGTGGTCACACAGCAAGTAACAGAGCTGAGATTCACATACAGATCTTCTGATAGCAAATACCTCATCCTTTCTAGTATACCATGCTGTTTGTGATCTGAAATTACAACAATCAGAATTTCAGAAAATTAAATAAGCATTTATTAAACATCTACTATGTGCCAAGCACTGCATTCATCCCTGAGGGTACAAAGACAAGAATAAAACAGTTCATGTTGTCAAGGATCATATATTCCACTGGGAGAAAACACATGTACCTGTAAGTATATGAATATATGTATATATCTTTATATGCATGCACACTTATATGTGTATATATTTATACTCATATATACGTGTGTATGCATACATATACTGTAATATAAACATTAATGTATACATGTATATATACTATATACACATGTGTGTATATAGAAATATGTTTGTATATAAATATATACATGTATATACATATACACACACATATAAATATATATATACGTGTGTGTATATATATACATATATATGTTTATACATATGTATATATATATAATATGTAAAATGCAAAATAATTTGGGAAGTCACTAGCAACTAGAGAGAAAGGCTTCTTTGTAGAAGGTGTTACCTGAGCTGAGCTTTGAAGGAAGCTAGAGATTCTAAGTAGCAGACAAATTCCAACACACAGATGGTTCTCCTTTAAAAGAAATAGCTACCTGGGGCTGAATATCTTACTGGTTACAGCACACTGCTAATGGGGACAAGGTATATGAGTTCTTTCTCATGCATACTCATAAACCTTGCGCTGTCCTGCCTGTTTGGGCAGTTACATAGTACAGTGGGTGGAGACTTGGTCCAGGTCATGATGATCTGAATTCAAATGTGGCCTCACATTTGACCCTGGGCAAGTCACAATTTCTCAGCCTCCATTTCCTTATGTTTAAAGTGGGAGATAATAATAACACCTACCTCATAGGGCTGTTGTGAGGATAAAATGAGATAATATTTATAAAGTGTTTTTATAAAAAATGTTAGCTATTCTTATTCTTGAACCCTGGTGGTTGGCTTAAAAACATGTCCCCTTGGTGCTAAAGGAGGACTGGAAGAGAGAGAGAAGGCATGTTGAAGTAAAACCACAATTGCCAGTAGGATTATAGAGAATATATATGTTTTTTGGAAACAGCCTGGAACCTATAAATATAATAGAAAATCACCTTGAAGGATTTGAACCACTAATGACAGATATCAATGGGTTCATTTTTGTATACCAAGAATGGCAAATTACTTTTTAACCTGAAGGAATCTAGTAAACCCTGAAAATGTATTGTCAGCATTTCTTGTCAGTGAAGAGATGAAATCTTTTCTTCTTCAAATGTGAGCTCACTGACTCTTCATCTTCAAGGTGGGAAGATACCAGTAGCTTGAAATTGTAAGTGGAACATTTCATGTCTCTTTCAGTGAAATATATAATCCTAGCCTATGTGCTAAAATTTAAACCCGTGCCAAGTTCCATGAGACTCTCCCTTGCAGTCATACAATTTTAGTTAATCTGGCCAGGCTCTCCCTGGTTGACTACCCTAAAGCAGCATTGTTGACTCCTGGCCATTAGCTTCAGCATCTTTTACCTCTGAGCAATGATCTGTTGCCCAAAGGACAGCAAAGGACCCAAAGCAGGGCCCAAAGCAGCTCTCCTAACTTTAGGAGTACAAGTCAGGCGTATGAAGTATTTGAGGGAGCGGCAGAAAAGTATAGTGATGGTTTTCTGGAAGAGAGAAAAAATAAAACACAAACATCAAAAATCTCCTGCCTCTGATGATCCCTAATTCTGACTCCTCTCTGATCTTATCTGTCTTCTCTTTACTGTGAATCAGGAGCATGACCCTTAGGATCAGCGGATGGAATTCTTTCCCCTTCTTACCCGAGAAAAGCAGAAGCAAACTTTTTACTATGGGAGATAGAATGGGACTCACATTGGAGCAGAAAGCAATATTTTGCTCTTTGGCTTGTGTAAATAGCATCCCTCAAATCAAAAATCCCTCTCAGTGGTGTCTCTGTGGTTTTTCACTCTTGACACTTGGATATAGAGAGCTGGCCTCAGAGCCAAGAAGTCCTGGATTCTAATTCCACCTTTGACACATTTTTAGGGTGACCTGCACAAGTCACTTAACTCTCAGTACTGTAGGCAACTCTTTAAGACTGAGTTTCAGGAATGGTTTCTACATGAATTAATGGAGGAAATTTCCTGTCTGGGAGATGCCTCTATCAATTAAATCACCGGTTTAGACTCTGTTCTCTCCTTGTCCCTATCCTTCTCTCTCTCTCTTTCTCTCTCTCTCTCCTCTCTCTCTCACCCATTCTCCAAAGGCCTTGTTCCTAAAAATGCACATCCTTCCCCCTTTTTGTTCTCTAGAGATTCAGTAAATACTTACTAATCCCAGTTCTGTGTTAGGCACAGGGGACCCAAAGATGAAAAATAACAGCTTCTACCCTCAAGGAGCTTACAACATAATAGAATGGATATTATGTGTATGCAAATAAGTATGACGCAAGACAGCATGTGTTAAGGGCAAAAAAGAAACAGACAAAGTGGTCTAGGAAGATTTCCTACCATTTTCAGCTGTAAGGAATGAAGAAGGGTACAAGGAGGAGATGAACCTTCAATGAAGGGAATCATTAGGCAGAGAAGAAGAGGGAGTATAGTCCCTCCAGGGAATGGCTTGCCCAAATGCAAGGATATGGAAGAGTGGATAATGAAATCAAGACCCCCATTTGTTTGTACTGGGGGTTTGGTTGGGGTACATTCTATGGAGCATGTGCTGAGTCACACATGGATAGCCAGAAGCATCTGGGGGAGTACAGTGCAGGCTTCATGGACCGTATTCCAAACCCTGTTACATGATGAAATAAAAAATAAATGAAAGAAAGTAATATGAAATTAGGACTGGAAAGGTAGGCTAGAGCCAGGTGATGGAGGGTCTTAAATGTTTAGCCAAAAAGTTTATATTTTCTACATGGTTAGAAATGCCTTAGGAAAATTATTTTAGGAGCATTTTAGGAGGTCCCTTCGACCCTGACCTACTCATACCTGGAATCACTCCCTTATTACCTCTGCCTATTAAAATCCTGCTTCTAAGTCTTCTCATCTTCATGAAATTTCCCCTTAGTCTCCCAAATGAAAGAAAACTTTCTCCTTCCCAAATTTTCTTTTAATACTTTGTCCTGAGTATGAAAGGCAGAGATAGAAAGTCAGAAACTGGTGGAAGGGAGACCGGGTAGGAGGCTGTAGGCCAGAAGAAAAAGCAATCAGGGACTGAATGTGTGTAGTGGGAGTTGGGGGAGGAGTGGTAGGTGGAGGTGGCAGCAGAATAAGTAGAAAGGAGGGGGTCGATATGAGAGAAACTGTGGGAACAGAATCTGCAGGATTTGGCAGCTGATTGGCTATGGATGGTGAGAGAGAGGGTAGGTGCTAGCCCTGAACTTTTGAACTTTCTTCATATCCACCCCTGTATGGTATGGACATTCATCTATCTATTTTAATCAACACTTCAAAACTCAGTAATCCAAAAAAATATTTATTGTGTGCCCTGATGTTCATGGATTTATAAAAATTATGTGTGTGTAGGATCTTTACTTGTGATTTCATTGATACAGGGAACTGGATCTTGGTAAGGAAATTCCTTGTATCAAAGTAGATCAGTAACTATTTTGCAATTTACAATCTTAGAGAATTGCCTAGGGGTCCTGAGAGGTTCTGACTTGACCACCTGGTATATGTGAGAGGTAACAGTTAACCCTAGATCTTCCTGATTCCAAGGCTAGCTCTCCATTGCTATGCCATGCTGCTTTATGTAAGCTGTGTACTGTCCACGTGACATATTTGTGTCCATAAAGTTATATAAATATGTCTTGAAGGAGGCTTTAATAGATACATCTTGAATCTTGCCCACTAGATCCCAAAGAAGAGTTTGATGCTTGCCCTGAAGGGAATGGGAGAAGGGACTACAAAGCTAGTTACTCTGTTCTCTTGGGGGGGGGGGAGGAATACAGTATTAGAATTATATCTATCTGCCCTCGTAAATACTGCGGGTCTTTAGGAACACAATTGATTCAAAATAAAAAGTTGCTAGCTTCCCTGGTCACTATGTCTTAAGGGCAGTTAGAAAGTATCCCTTAGCTTAGCCACCAGCTCAGTCCCTTCCCACCAAATGCAAGTTACACAAAAGATCATCACAATAGTGAACCATGAGTCAGCCCATTCATCTTAGCAAATA